AGACCATTTGCGGGAGGTTTCGATTCATTACTTCATTTTGAAGAAAACTACTACTCAAATTTATTGAATACTTGTAGAAGCTTACGGCGAACATGCATTAGCTCAAGACACTTGTGAACGTAGGTTTAATCGATTCAAAATTGATTTTGATGTGAAAGACAAGGCTAAGGGAAAACCACCGAAAAAATTTGAAGATGCAGTGTTGCAAGCATTGTTGGACGAGGACTTCATTCAAACCCAATCACAATTGGCGGAAGTATCAAATGTGACTCAAAAATGTTAGCGAGTGTTTGCACACGATGGGAAAGTTTCAAAAAGAAGGAAAATGGGTACAACACGATTTGACTGAAAGACAGATGGAGAATTGAAAAGTTACCAGCGATCTCCTGCTGAAAAGACATCAACGGAAGCGTTTTCTGTATCGAATCGTCATAGGTGATGAAAAATGATATATTTCGAGAATTCCAAACGAAGAAAATCATGCTAGATTTAAGGCTTTCACGGCCATTGATACAATGTCTAGATATAGCTTCCGGAATGGAGCCGTGTCTTGAATCAGCGATGTGCCGACGTTTCGCAAACGTTGCAGTTTGCGTCATCCGGGCTGAGAACTCTGATACTGAGCTCCCTTGGGCAAAAGTTGTCCTTACATGTCCCCTTCCCCCCCTTTGTGTAGATGGTGTTAGGGAGTAGGGGAGAAGGCTTGAATCCAGCCAATCAGCGTATTTTAATTGATCAACTGGTCAATTAAAAAATTTTACCAGCAGACAAAGGGAACGCTACTGTAGTTATGAACAGGGAAGACTACTGCAGTAAAATCAATAGTTTACTCTCAGACCAAAAAGTCTACAGGAAACTCAAACGCAACCCAACATACAGCATAGAGAAGAAAACATCTTCTCTTCTGAAAAATGTAGGTCTCCCTCTTCAAACTATCAAGTATTTAACCCCTCAAGATTCTTTAGCACCTAGACTCTACGGTCTTCCAAAAATCCACAAGGAATCAGTGCCCTTACGTCCTATTGTCAGCAATATTGGGGGACCTACCTACCAGTTAGCCCGCTATCTCTCCAAACCCCTCCAGAAACTTACTGGTCTCAATGATTCCCATATCAAGAATTCAACGGATTTCGTGAATAAGATCACAAAAATCAAGGTGAATACTAATGATATCCTGGTGAGTTTTGATGTAGTCTCATTGTTTACTAATGTTCCAGTCCAGGATACTTTGAACATCATCAAGAATTCCGAGGAAATTCCTGCCAATCTCTTCCCACTTCTAGAACACTGCTTAACTTCAACTTATTTTCAGTTCCAAGGAGAGTTTTTCGATCAAACCTCTGGAGCGGCGATGGGATCTCCTATATCTCCTATCATTGCAA